AGGTATATTTTAATAATTATTAAAAAAAAAATATTATAGGATGTAACTAAGAATTTACGGTTTTCGCAATTTTTCCTTTATCTGTACTATAAGACGTTACTTCGTACCAAATTTCAAGATTCTAAGTTCACGGGAAGTATCCTGTAGGTTTTGATTCCCGTGCGAGTTTCGAAAATTTGCGACATAAACGGCTGTATCTTTTGATTGCTGTGGCTTAGAAGTTTGATTTTTTCGCAGCTCCAAGGGACAGTACTCCTGAGTATTATATATGAATTTCAGTTTGATACCTCTACGTGTTCCTGAGAAAAACGGTCTTGACAGACGGACGGACGGACAGACGGACAACAAAGTGATCCTATAAGGGTTCCGTTTTTTCCTTTTTAGGTACGGAACCCTAAAAACCACAATAAAATATCAATAATTTCACAACGCTACCTCGAGTAGCAATGTCAACGGCTTCTGAGTCGTGCTAACGTTACGTTTTTATAAAATGTTTATAGCACTAGTCATAAAGTTTATCCCCTTCTCAGGGAATGATCGGTTCAGATGAAGCTGTTAGTCAGTAAGATTCTGACATAACCTTGCAGCCGGCTGTAGGGTATCCATGACGATTTCAAACCCGCTCCCCCGCATGGTAGCATTTATCATTCGTATTAAAAAAATATATCGATTTGATATTCAATTTGAGACGCAGAAGACTTTGATTTAGATATTTTGGTTGAGATACATAGATTGATATTAATTGGTTTTTCTAATTTACGATATAGCAAAAAAAGACTCCTGCTCAAATAAGTATATTTTGGTAACTACAGGCAACTACGGAACCCTACACCGCGCGTGGCACGACACGAACTTGACCGGATTTTTACAATCCTATTAACTTAATTGCTATATTTTTAAAGGTGACAAACAAGAGTATTGCCCCTTGATGGCAAACGGCCATAATAGAATATAGACACTTGCGATACAAAAAATAAAACACGCACCGTTCTCTACCCCGACCCAATCCCCTGCCCTTACTCACAGACAGACACACAACACCACCTAAAGGTAGTGTTATTTTACTGTGGTAGTCTGTAATGTAATGGAGATTACTTCTGCAGACGGGCGCTCCTCCTAGTGGTATCAAATGCGCTATATTCCAGTGCAGATTTCTGGGTGCTAACAAGTGCAGATGAAGACGGGACCAAAAGCATAACGTGCTATAGGTATAAAGGGAGGATGGGCTCGAGATAATAAATTTTTAAATAAAACTAGTTTTTAACGGGCTAATGCACGAACTTTATTTATTTATCGACGTGTCGCAGCCTTTTCAGGTCTGCATCGTCAGAATAATGATTTTTTATTTACATCCTCGAGCTACCTTCGAAAGACGATAGAGACCTGAAAAGGCTGCGAAACGTCAATAAATAAATAAAGTTCGTGTAGTAATCCGTTAGAAACTAGTTTTATTTAATGAGTGATGTGCGTGAAAACCTAAGAAACAAATATAATAAATTTTTGATCACCCTTGCATGACAGGTCACTAGCAAAGTTGCTTTACTCCCAAAATCTCAGAATTAACGCGCTACCTTAACGCGCTTTTATTAATATGCAATTTAAAACTGTATATTTCAAATTCCTTACAAGATCTTTTGACTTTATAAGGGCGATAATGTATAGAAAAAAAAGTTAACAAAATGTAAGATTTTTCCGTCACTACTTAGCTAGGCAGCTAGGCGGATAGCTAGATGGCCACTATATAGATAGCTAGGCGACCACTGACAGCGGTGGCTGTGGACTTGGTTTAAAGTTTTGTTTAATAGTTTGACGTAATCGAGGGATTAGATCATGCACCATCACACGTGCCCAGTGCGGTTCGATGGCTACAATATTATTTCTTCTTACAGAAAAAGCAATGAGATTCTGGACGAGACCTATTATTCTTTCTCAATTAAGTATTAACTAGCAAACCAGTGAACCAAATGTTCACCAAAAAAAAAAAATGTATTTAATTAATTGAGAACTTCGGAGATTTTGTGTGGTTTCGTTTGAAATAGAAATCACGTGATTTCTCGAAAACCGGAAGTGCTACGTTACTCACATCCGGTTTGTAGTCTTATCAGACTATTCTTAACTTATAACTTAAACATTCTCTATATCTATCTCTTACGGTTTGGCCGCTGAAACAGCACCACGGACAGACGGACGGACTTGTTTAATAGATAAGAGATTACTTTAATACGGTTCACATGTATTCATTGTTATATGAATAAAACATTGCGCGTGTTATTAACTAATGCCAAAATTGTGTTATGTTTAAAAGAAATTGTATTTTATTAATAGTTATCAATCAATCACAACTACCTTTGTTTATAAGTACTAACTATATGTAATAATTTGTTGCTCATCGACCGATTTGTGTCGATCAGTAAACATGAAATACTGATTTTGTAACGATTTCACTGCGTTCTACATAATTCATTAAGCCACACCTGCGTTTATGAGCACTTGCTATTAATTCGGTGTGATCAATGCAAGCAACAACAGTTAACCGAATTTGGCGGTTATATTTGCAATTATTGTTCATTCCCTTGCACGAATTGTAGGAGAAAATTTACATTTAATAACACGATAATGATTTTAAGTTTTCAAGATCAGTACCATTAGCACGTACCAATATCGAATTCGTTTCGTTTTCGAGTACTAAATGTCATTGTTAAATGTGTGATGATTTTTAGTTACATACAAAATTTGACAATGAAATTTCGGACTCGCTAACTATTCGAATTCGATAATGGTTCGTGCTAGGGGTACAGTTCAATTATTCAGAATTCCCCTTTTTCTGGAATCGATACCCGTCTGTTCTGCTGTTTTAGTTTATGACCAAACGAGTGCCCGTGAAAAAGTCGTAGAAACCAACTACGGAAACAAAACGAAGGCTCCTGGATTAGAGAATTGAAGATAATAATAAATTCCAGACAAATGATACCAAACATACCTGGTACTTTAGTAGTTAACTAGCGGCCGCCCGCGTCTTCGTACACGTGGAGTTAGTTATTTGCACATACTTTTTGAACCCAAAATGGGGTTTATTTCTAAAGACTCATTATTAGTACACACCATCTATAGAGCATACATGTTAAATTTCAAGTCTCTTACTTCAAAAACATAAGACTTTCATACAAACTTCCAACCCCCGTATTACCCCTTGGGGTGGAGTTTCGCGATAATATGGAGCCTATGTTATGACCCGACTTCTTAATAATATTCATGCCAAATTTGCAGTAAATCCATGCAGTACTTTTTGAGTTTATCCCGGACAAAAGAGACAATCAGACAAAAATTCTAAAAACTATATTTTTGGCTTCGGTATCGATTGTAGATCACACCCCATAAATTCTTTTAAAAAAATATTCAATGTACAGTTTTGACTTTCCTACCATTTTATTATATGTATAGATAATTAACTCACAAAAATATAATACTAAATTGGTTCACACTGTTAGTAAACAGAGCTTAGATTAAGTAATTAAAATGTGCGCATTGCACTACAAATTACAAAATATAAATTAAAACTAGACTCTTTGACGCGAAATTCTGGTTATAGAGAAAATGATTTTAATTTATCAAATGTGAAGCAAATAAAAAAAAAATACATTAACAAATCGGTCTTTGTAATTAATTGAAAACTAGCTTCCACCCGCAAATATGTTCCCGTGAACTTCAGAGTCGCGTAAATTTCCTATTTTTTTCTAGAACCTTCAACAAAGCATTATAGAGACCGTATAAGATCGACCTTCACCGATCTGACAACTCGATGAGACATATTTTTATAGAATACTAGCAAACCCGGCGAACTCCGTTTCGCCACCAGATGGCTTCTTTTTATGTAACATTTCGTTTGGTGATTAAAAGAAGATTTTTTTTTATGATTTTTCCTGAATTTTCTTTGCTATAAACCCCACGGAGCCCGAGACCTTTCCAACGAATGCAAAACCGTGGAAATCGGTTCGTGCGTTCTGGAGTTATAGCGTCAGGAAGGAAAACCCGACTTATTTTTATATAGTAGATAATTTATAAACAAATTTGCCTATGATGACTTGCCTATCGAAAAGTGTTCATAGCTATTTTTAATTTAATTAATTTTAATCAATTTTCTTTCATCACCTTCACCTCTTTTTCAATTCACAGATCTCATGCTTTACACGCATTGAAAGGGCATTGAAATAGAATCTACCTATTATAGATTATACAAAAAAAACAGCTTTTCCAAAACATATTTACATCATCTTAAAGCTTTTCGAATTCCGCGTCTTTTGAGATCTCATAAGTCGTTGTGGCCGCACGCGAGCCGCCAGTCGCGTGATATCGCACCTCGCGTCGCGCACAACTCGCGGTTAAATGCCCCTCTACAGCCCCGACCGTCATCAATATCGAAAAAAGTGTAATAACCTAAAATGTTCCTTGGTTCTATACCGAAGTCCTTGTTTCATATTTTTAAAATTCGGCCCCGTTGTCGAGATATCGGAAATTTTCTGTGAAAACACACGATTTTTCGGTCGTAAAAAGACGGTTTTTTTCTACGTCCAAAAAGTTTTTGACTATTCCAAAATATTTCTTACATCATCTTAAAGCCTTTCAAATTCCGCGTCATTTGAGCCCTCATACGTCCTCATGGCCCTAAACCTCGGGGTAACACGGGCGAGTCACACTTTCAGCCAAAATGGGGACCTACTGGAGCGAACAAAAAAACATTTTCAATGTTAAAACAGCCGCTTAGAAGTAACACCATTTTGTAGTGATATAATGAGAAACAAACATTGCAATGTTAAATATTGCAATGTTGACAAATTGTTACTTCTTCATAGTATTTTAACTAAAATCACATTTAACTATCTATCAAACAACGCGGCCTAAGAAAATAATGGTTTTGACAATATATTGTATTTAGCAACTTCAGTTTTGATAGATTGTTTTTAGCAACTTTAATAACAAACTGTGTATTCGGCAATTTACAGATGGTACCACTCCTGTCAGTCGTGGAATGGCAAAACGGGCGAATGGCAAATTTGGGTGAACGCTGAGCGAGTGGGCCGAGGATTCCATAACAGGGTAAGTGCCCTCACAATCTTCTTCGGCGCTACGCTCTTGACAGAGTGGTCGTGGTAGTCACATCAGGGTTGGTGGCAGGCTTCACAATATGCCGCTATTCCTCCCGCAATGTGGCCTTTCGCGTGCACTCGTGAAGTTAAGTGTTCAGTGCCGCTTTTTTAGGATCGGTCCAGCGCATTCGAGATCTGCCGCCCTCGACTTTGCCCTGCACCACCAGTTGTTCCACCGACTTTTCGTGTGTGAGATGTGGCCAAAGAAAGTGAGAATACGATTTTGTGCGATGAAAGAAAGACGTTGTTTGATGTACAGTTCCTGGAGGATGAATAAATAAATAAATAATAATAAATATTACCAACACTCACACCAATTACCCTAGCCCCTAAGTAAGCATTGTAAGGCTTGTGTTATGGGATGCTTGGGTAACAGATAGAATACATATATATTGTACATATATAAGTATATTTGTATAGAAATACATATTAAACATCCATGACTGGTGTACAAATGCTCGTATTCATCACACAAACATCTGCCCCCACCGGAATTCGAACCCGGGACCACTCGAGTCGGCGACAACATGAAATCCGGCGTACAAACCACTCGGCCACGGAGGTCGTCGAGTCGAATTGGTTTGGAATTGCGTCTACTGTAGGTGAAGCATTTTCTATATTCTTTTCCCACTCTCTCACAAGGCCCTTACAATATTATTCCATTCAAAAACTGCGAGAAAGGAAACAAAATTGAATTGTATTCCGGGTTTTTAAAAATTACGCTCGCTTTGTTTATTTTAAATCTGTCCGAGTCGAACCTAAACGATAAATCAGCAAAAGGAATATTTAAAGAAGAAACAGATAATATGACGAAAATTTAAGCATGTAACTTACGAGAGAACGGTGTTAAATATACAAAGTTAAAGGTCAACCGAGCTTAAAACATTTTCAACTGTTGATCTTGTAAATTGATAATATCAGGTGTCGTGGATGTTAACTAAGCAAAAGCCAAAGAGATGACCTAAAATGTATTAACAGCTGTAACATGTCACTTTCATTCAGTAGCATGTTGACTGGGAACGAGTTGAAATAAAGGTGAAATTCCTCAATAGCTACCCGTCTTGCGCAGATATTAAAAGCCTCATGTCTCGCGGCTGTCGGCTTTATATTGGCATCCCTAAAAAGGATGCAGCGTAGGGATCATTTATAAATTCTCCGAGAAATACTTTCTTATGTTGTTTGCAGCTCGTCGGTCTTGTCATCAAAGGTGGCGGCGTAGCTGTGAGTGGTCAAGACCAGTCACTTCTTTACAACAAAGATAACTTGGATCAAACGAAACGTAAGTATTTAGATGGAATATTAGAAGTTTCTGTGACTTTTTGTAAGTCATCTGTTGATAATATAAGAAAAGAGAACAGAACTGAATATACTAAATGTGCTGAAAGAGCTGAACTGAATATGTGCATGCGCAGATAATATGGATCGTTAAGGAACAGCAAGATGTAATTGTATTATTATTAAATTGCTTCCTATGTTCCAGCGCAACCAGGTTTTGTGGGCGAAATAACTATGCTGCAAATATATCAAGTCGCCCTAACAGCTGGCAAAGCGCACAAGGACCACAAGCATCACCACGCACACCACTTCAAACACGACGGAACTCCCGTAGACTCCTCCACTGAGCCAGCCACCGAACCTCCTCCGCCGGAAGCCACGCCACTCGGTAACGGCAACTTCCTCGTCGGTGGCCAACTACAGAGACCGCAGAACTTAAATCTCGCCGGGGCCCAGCAAATGATCCCCATACAATTACCAAACGGGCTTCAAATACAACAGGAGTACATTAACGGTCAGCTTGGCAACAGGATTGTGTCGGAACAGCTAGTGAACAGCGTTCAGCCTTCGCCAAACCGATTGCAGATTCCACAACACCAATTAGTGTCATTACCTTCTCCTCCTCCTGTGCCCGTACGTCAAGGACCAAGTTATCAGACGCGCCCTATTGGCCCGTCTAAGGGAACAACGGTGGTGCTTACCGGATCCTTGCTAAATCCTGCCAATGTGCAGTACATCGACGACACAATTGGGCATAATTTGTATAAAAGGGATTCAAATAAAAGGGACAAGAGGGACAATCCAGAGAAAGAACTTCAAACCAGTAAGTGGAAATTAGTTTTTACAATAGTAACATTGTCTAATACCTCACAATAACTAATATTTAAAATTCTATTCAGTTTTGGCCATAAGTAAATAGCTCTTTTAGTTGGTGATTTCTACTGGCAGAGATTGGTATAGCTTTTATGCCATAATTATTGGTTAAGCAATAAGATATTTCTATTATGATACTTGAAGACATGATATATTTTTCTAGGTAAAAAAGACAAGCGTGGTCTTGTAGCTCTTTCTGACGGTTCCATTGTGGATGAAGCTTTGCTGAGTACAGACCTGGTTGGTGAAAAGGAGGACGACGTTCTTTTCGAAGAGTCCCTATTAAACGGCCTAGCTGGAGTAGTCGGGAACGTTCCCGTACAAAACATGCAGAAGAAAACGGTAAGTAATACCCGTACCTATCCCGAATCTGTCCTATTTTGTCGATTATCAGCATCAGTCTCTAAAGCGGGAAAGGCTACAAGATTCTTACAGACTCGATCAAAGTCAACAAACCCAATTGTTAACTAGGAAACGGGTAGCGAACAGCTTTACCCTTTTTACTCTAGATAATGGAACTACTATGATAGAGATAGATTGACGGTATATCTAAAACTAAACTAACGAAAATATACCATTAAAATTATTACAATTTTTAAGAGGTTGTGTTTTCGTGGATCGGACAAATTGCTGAACACACTTTGACTACAATTCAATATATTTTACTCATACGATCTTAATAAATCCCGTATTTTCAGGTGGATGAAAGAGAACCAGCGGAGGCTGAGGTTAAGGCTGTAATGCAAGTATGCAGTGGTTGCGCTCAAGAGCCCTTCAAGAAGGCTTTGGTACTATCCTGGAGATCCACGCCAAAGAAACTGTTCAGCGGTGCTCATTACTACAAGGGTCTGCCAATATGTAAAGCATTTTAGACTTTAACGCGACACGTGATGAAGCAAACGCTAAAACACGGGACCGTTTAAAATTTAGTATGAGGCCGTCCCAGCTACATTCGAGTGAAGCAACCAAATATTTCTCGACGCATTGAGCAGGATTCATTTTCGAACAAAACTAGTTATAAAAAGTGAAATTATTTAGCGAACTCACAAATTCACGATCGCCACCATTGAAAATGGAGATCATTCACAATTCAGTTAGAACTATCTCACCGGATTTATTATCTTAGTAAATAATAGTAATGCGACATGAACGTAATTGCCTAATTACGATTCCGAACATAATTAGACAAATAATAATAGTAATAATGATTTTTATATAGAAACAATTGAATAGACTATCGAAACAATAAGGAATTATATAAAAAATCCTATAACTATAGTATCGCGAAACCATGAATGAATACGAAACTAATTCGAGACTTCAACTACTTAATTCTTATCAATGTATTTAAAGGGATTGTGCTAATAGACAAAATATCATCTGGTCTTACTCATTGTAAATAAGTCTAATCATCTTCATGCGAGCTTGCCATTGCGAGTTATTATTTATTAAAGTCTAAGTTTTACACTTGGCTTGTTCATAGAATTAAGGTTTAGTTTTTAATTTGCTGAATTGTTACCATTTTATATTTTAAATGAATTAAGTTTATTTTGATTTCGAATAAATTTTAAAAATAATTTTTACTATGAGTATTATTTGTTATTTCAATTACCAACCAACTAACCAATAACCCACAAGAAGAAATGTTCAACATTTTTGTATATGTCAATAAAAATAAGACTAGGTAACTGATCACTAAATATGGTAACACCGAGCGTCTATAGCTCGTCTTACCATATTTACGAAATAATTTATACATTTTTTTAAGATACTTGAAATTTCGAAACAAAATTTAAACTTTTTCTACCTTTTAGTAACAAATAAGTAGGTACCTACTTATTAAGAAGGTTTATTAACAATTTTTATTTCTCCAAGCACTATAGCCGGACAAAGCTATAAACAAATATTAAATTTCGATGATTGTAACCTTAAAATTTTAACGAATCATTCGTTAAAGAATTGTGTTATATCTACATCCTACCTTTCGTTGATATGTTCACCATCGGATCGGATCATCAGTCGACTTACCTTAGACTTGTGGACGTGCTGGTGATGATATTCGGAGTCTATTTCAGGCTCGCTGAAGTAGCTCTGATCCTGCAAAAAAAGATGTATGAATTCCGAACTACTCACATTAATTGAAAGCAAACTAAGCAGAGCTATGGAACTTATAAACGAAATTCTATTTAGTCCGTCAGTTAGATGATCAAAAAATAATGGACACGTATTTTTTCTTTGGGCAATCAACCAAAAAATGACAAAGTTATAGCGCGTCAAAGTTTGGGAGTAGGGGCTCGTGACGTCACTGATAAGTGAAAATTGTACCAAAACATAACGTCATGCGACTTTTCAAATCAATATATCTCTGCAATTTTTATATTATGTAAAAAAAAAACGTGTCCAATACTTTTTGATAATCTACCTGGGGGCCAATCGCCTAACGGAAATGCTTTGGAAAACGCTAACGCTTACGATTTTATAGCCGCCTGAGGTATTCAAATGCCTCGCGCTCTTTCTTTTTCTTTTGCATTGGTAATAACAATATTAACAAAAATGAGCGTGAGGTATTCGAAAACCTCAGGCGGCTAGAAATAATAATATAAAATCGTAAGCGTTAGCGTTTCCCAAAGCATTTCCGTTAGGCGATTGGCCCCCTGATAAACGAAGAAAAAAAGTTAGTCATCATCCCTATTATTAGTGCTCATAAGAAATTATTACAATCCAGATATTTTTAGGGCAGAAGAGATAAAAGCTCCCCCGTTGCACTAACTAGTCGCCAAACAAATCAGACTGTATAAAATAGTAAGTATTGGACAATAGTTAAATACCTGGTTCCGATGAATACAGATTACGATCCGGATTGCCTATTAATAGTTTTATCGAAAAATCTTTATACAAATCACCCAAATTTTCAATAAAAGGAATGCTTTAGGTGCGAATCGCAACTTACAGATCTTGAATAATAAAGAAATCAAGTTCGCGTCAGATTTCTTGAAACGTAATAATAAAAATTAAAAAAAATATGTTCATTCAGAATGAAAACAATATATTCCAATTCATCTTTATCCTATACCTGATCGTAAGTTACTAGGAGCTCGATGGCACAAGTGATTAGCGCGTTCGGTGGCGATCGTTGAAGTTAAGCAACTTTCGCAGTGGTTGGTCATTGGATGGGTGACTAAAAATTTACTATCTCGATCTTCTCCGTGCTTCGGAAGGCACGTTAAGCCGTTGGTCCCGGCTGCATATGAAGTCGTTAGCACCCATAAATCCGCACTGGGCCCGCGTGAATCCATAGGGAAGCCATGTGTACCGGTAGTGAATACAACAATAGATGTTAATGATGATGATACCTGGTCCCAGCTCGAAGGGACGGAGCACGCGCTCCCGCTGATGTCCGTCGCTTCGAACAACCTCAGCACTCTGCGGTCAATGTGTTCCCACGGGTGTGTTCTGGAGGAGATTGTAGAGATGTTTACCTGGTCCCAGCTACACGGACCGGAGTCGGTGGCGGCGCCAGCAGGCATGGGCAGGGAGTCTACCCCGACGGTGTCAGGGAAAGCGCTCCCGCTGATGTCCGTCGCTTCGAACAACCTCAGCACGCTGCTGTTTGTATTGTCCCGCTGGTGTGCCCTAGGGGACGTAGTATAGATGTATACCTGGTCCCAGTTCGACGGGCCGGAGCAGGTGGCGGCGCCAGCAGGCATGGGTAGGGAGTCTACCCCGACGGTGTCAGGGAAAGCGCTCCCGCTGATGTCCGTCGCTTCGAATAACCTCAGGACGCTGCTGTTTGTGTTGTCCCGCTGGTGTGCCCTAAGGGACGATGTATAGATGTATACCTAGTCCCAGCTCGACGGGCCGGAGCAGGTGGCAGCGCCGCCGGGCATGGCCAGGGAGCCGACCCCGACGGAGCCTGGAAACGCGCTCCCGCTGATATCCGTCGCTTTGAACAACCTCAGCACGCTGCGGTCTCATTTGTCCCACGGGTGTGCCCTAGGCGACGATGTATAGATGTATACTTGGTCCCAGCTCAACGGGGCGGAGCTGATGGCGGCGGTAGCGGGCCTGGCCAGGGAGCCGACCCCGACGGTGCCTGGAAACGCGCTCCGCTGATATCCGTCGCTTCGAACAACCTCAGCACGCGTAGTCAGTGTTATGTTATCGGGTGTATATTTGGGGATGATGTAAAGATGTATACCTGGTCCCAGCTCAACGGGGCGGTGCAGATGGCGGCGCTAGCGGGCCTGGCCAGGGAGCCGACCCCGACAGTGCCGAGAAACGCGCTCCCGCTGATGTCCGTCGCTTCGAACAACCTCAGCACGCTGCGGTCTGATTTGTCCCACGGGTGTGCCCTAGGGGACGATGTATAGATGTATACCTGGTCCCAGCTAGACGGACCGGAGCAGGTGGCGGCTCCAGCGGGCATGGCCAGGGAGCCGACCCCGACGGTGCCGGGGAAGGCGCCCCCGCCGATGTCCGTCGCCTCGAACAACCTCAGTACGCTGCGGTCTCTGATGTCCCGCAGATGAGCCCTGGCGGAGACGCGTATTTTATTAGAAAAGAGCGGCAAACAAGCATACGGCTTAGCGTCAGCGCACACCGAACTGCATAATGCTCACGCATAGTCGAGCAAAGACTACTAAATACGCATACTCAATCGCGCATCTTGCAAGTTCAGCACGGTCAAGCATCAAGTTTGACGTGTATTGAATTTTGCAAATATATGGAATTGTCATAAGAAAAAATCTCAATAGATGCTCTTCTCTGTTCTTGGTGTGCACTGACGGCTATCATGACGAAACGGGCGTAGAGGTCTATGGGCCAAAGCACCCCAGAATAGCACCTGTCGGTAGCGACTCGACGAGCACATATTTTGTTAAATGATTTAAACCTTACCTTCATACATAAAATAATAGTATCGCTTGAAATGCTCGAAAAGGTGCAGCCTAGACTCGAATTGGGTATTATCGCAGGCGGCCATGCGAGCTCATCAAGATTTTGAAGCGATACTAATCTTTAAGTATGTTGATAAAGTTAAAATCATAACTTTATTTACTACGCGAAAAGATACACATTTCATGGTTTAAATTCAGATTACGCGTGGTGCAATGTATTCTGAATTCAAACAATGAAATTATGTATCTTTTCGCGTAGTAAATCAAGTTATGTTTTGAGTCGCTTTGTGCAGCCTGCAGCGTCGCGTCGCGTTTCGGTGTGAGCTGACGCTTAGGACACGCCGAGCATAATTCCATTTCGATCGCGCGCTTACTAGAGGGCTTTAGGACGCTTTTTAAACGACCTGTTTCCCGCCGGATCTAGGTGTGGTTTCTACGTGGGCCGGTGCCGTAAAACTTCTTCACGAGCACGGGTTGTGCGTTTGTACCGACCTCAAATCGTGGATAGCGTCGGTATCGTTATTAAACCTCCATAGTGCCCCCTACTCAACTAACGACCGGACAAAGACACGGTTTAAATCCCGTGTAGAAATCTCCTCGGTAACAAGCGCTCTTAGAGTAATAATAACAAACAGATGCTACATGAAGCTACTTGAAGAATAGAGGCGCGCTGACTACCCTGACTTTGACGGCAGAAGGCTCGAAACAGTTGCATTCCGATAGAATAAATACTTTGGCTTAACAATAGGAGTGATATTATTTATTTGTACAAAATATGACAGCAAGAAGCACAACAAAAAGTAATACAGAATGACCTACATACGATAAATGTTCCATTCCAACGCACAAAACGACACATAATATTGCATAGTTAACACAAGATCGCACTTCCCATTGTCCACACGGTAAAAATCACAGCACAAACAAGGATAGCAGAGTTTGCACTGCGATTTTCGTTGTGTGGGTGAAAGGAAATAAAGACTTTCTGTGCAACAGTTTGCACTAGCACTTGTGTGTGTCGTTTAAATCAGCTTTAAAAAAGCGATACATTTTTTTATAAATTATGGTCTGTTGGACTACTCGCTAACTTTTTCGACATTTATAATGTGTAACTAAAGAGAAAATTACATATGTCTACATGGATTCTGTTCAGAACTAGTATATTAGTGTCGTTATGAAAAAGCAGATGTGGATCAGTAAATAAGAACCGTCATCGAATAGACTTACTTAGACTTCGGTACTAAATGCGCTAAAATTAGACATTTGAATTAGAGTTCTGTCGTGATGAAATAGCGGGCTGCGTGCCTATAGACGCTAGACGTTAGCTTGATTGGCGTTAATTTGATACACTAAGAGATGTTGTGGACAATGATAAATTTGTACTTATGTGCAGCTGAAGGAGCGCACTGAATTCAAAGTTAGAACACTAATTTTAGTACCAAAGCCTCATCACGCAGGGTGGGATAAGTATTATAGGAAATCTGTCAACTTCATTTATCAAAGAAAAGCACTTCAGTACCCTTAGCACGAACCATTATTGATTTCGAATAGTCTGCAAGTCCGAAATGTCATTGTCAAATTTTGTATGGAAACTTGAACAGCAGCGCCACAACGGACGTAACAAGAACTAAAAATCCGTACACATTTGACAATGACATTTCGGACTCGCAAACGATACGAATTCGATATTGCTTCGTGCTACGGGTACTGATCTCATTCTCACCTGTCATCCTCGAGTTCATAGAACATGTCCTTCGACGAGTCATGAATGTATATCTTCACCATGGGGCTGTCCATATATTGCATGGTGAGTTGCTTGGGGAAACTCCTCACGAACAACGCTTTGACCGTGTCGATCGACGTAATCTCGTTCGGCAAGAGGGCCCTTTTCGTTTCGTTTCTGTACTGCAGGAAAACTAATCCTGCAACAACGTATTATTATATAGACTTGGTCGCTTATTGGCTGTTTGAATTGAAATTGCCACATGCACCAAAAAATCTTTATTCAAATTAAAGCTTAATCGTGTTTAACGCATCATTGCATCTTTGTCAATTGTTTTAAGTCAAATAGAGATAGAATAAAGCCTAATATGATAAGCATTTAAATTTGAATTAGGTACTTTGTGAAAGTGAATCTAAACTTCTTTAGTTCTCAGCATTCGACCTTTTTTTGTTATCATGTCATCGTGAGTAAAGTTCTTCTGCTATAGACTCATTGTATGTAATTCTAAAGCAGAGTATTTTTTATTATGTAGACTTTAATGCTTTATTAATAAATAGGTACATAAAACATTAGTTTTCTGCACTCTTTCGCTTTTTAAATTTTATTATGCAAAATCTCACAATAAACGAAATGTGCTTAAAATCGTTCTCCTTCACGAACCAATATAATATAAAGATTTCTACACACATATTTTATAATAGAAATTAGAAATGTATTATTAATTGAGGAATATGTTAAACAAGTTGGTTTCTTAGATACCTATGCCTTTCTGCGTACACCAATAACTTCATTAAAACTTTCGCTGTCTACCCTTACTTCACCCCTACCCCGAGGAGCCCGAGAATTGTTTAATTGTATAATAAAAAGCCCTAGAAATAGTCAGGAATATTGTCAATGATACCTTAAAATGTCTCGCGCACTAGACGGCCACGACCACGGATAGTGGTCGCAACGACCAGATTAACTATAGAAACCATACGAACGTCGCGCACTTGGCCGCAACTCAGATAATCTGGTCGTTGCGACCACTGCGTGTCGGTGCTTAAGTGAAGCAGAAAAATACTACACAGATTTTACATCACAATGTTAATATACCGCGAATCTATTTGCAAATATCACACTATAATATTATAAAGGCGAAAGTTTGTGAGTGTGTATGTTTGTTACTTCTTCACGTCTAAACGGCTGGAACGATTTTAATAAAATTTGGTGTGGAGTTAGCTGATACCCTGGATTAACACATAGGCTACATTTTACTGCGGGAAAATATCTTATTTCGATGGGAAAATCGATGCAAATGAATTTTGTTTAAGTAGGTACATATTTTTTGACATTCATGTCAAAGCTATTTTGAACATTCATGTCAAAGCTATTTTGATAGATTAATATTTCATACATATTTCTAGGACAACGATATTGTTATAATTTTTTTGTGTATCTAATTATGACTCACAATTGTAAACCAAATCGTTCACTGAGCTCACAAAGAGCTTCATCTATGAAAATTGCAAGACAGCAAGAATCTACTTATGATACTGAACAGCGCAGACGTGATCAAGCAACACGTCAGGTAGAGAAGTCAGAACTGGAGAAACTTCTGCGCAAGCTGATGCTCGGCGTCTGGAAAATCCTATCCGCATAGCTTCTCAGCGTGCATAGGAGACAACTGATGAGGCAGCTTTTCCGCGTCAAGAAAACGCACAGCCTATGGCCACACAGTGATCCAATCAAACACCTTATGAAGCAACTTCTCGACGGCAGAAGCATGCCCAGTTTATGGCTAATCAGCGTGCATTAGAGACACATGAAGAAGCAGCTACTCGGCGTCAAGAAAACGCACAACGTTGTCCATTCAGCGTGCCATTGAAACACCTGATGAAGGAACTTCTCGACGGCGAGAGCATGCCCAGCTTATGGCTAATCAGCGTGCATTAGAGACACCTGAAGTAGCAGCTACTTGGCATCAAGAAAACGCATAGCGTATGTCCACTCAGCGTGCCATTGAAACACCTGACGAAGAAACTTCTCGACGGCTAAATCAATCCCAGCTAATGTCTAATCCGCGTGCTTCCGAGATAGTAAATGAGACAAATTCTAGACGACTCGCAGTCGCTCAGCATCAAGCAGAGTGCCGGCAAACATTTACCAGAAATGCTTGGGGGTTATTTGAAAAATGTGGTTTTGAATATGACTTGACATTGGATTACAATAGCCACAGGCTCATGAAAATTTGCCGTATGGAAAATGTGTGTCACCATTGTGGGGCATTAAAATGGAATGAGGAAGGAGCGGGAATGTGTAGCTCTGGGGGCAAAGTAGCCATTCCTGTTTTAGAAGAGCCTGTGGAACCCTTAAATACATTATTTACAGGTGAAATTGATGCGTACAACCCATGCTTTTACATGTCGTCGTTCGGGGCGGACAAAGGACAATGGCGAACTCCCATACAATTTTTTGTTGAAATTTTTTCTTGCGTCTATAAATGAATTGCATGTTAAATTATAGAGTTCACATTCTTGATTTGATTCATCTTATTTCTTATATTATAGGAAGTCCGGATTTATAGATATTCTACTTTGAAGTTTTGGAGGTTATGTCCTACCAAGTAATGCAAAAACGAATTATAAAAGTTTGTTTCAAGAGTATTTTTATATCAAAATAAAAAATACGTGGAACGGACCTATAGAAGTACACCGGTACACAATGTATGATCAGTTGGCTTTCTTTTTTTCTTTCTTTGGCGTAGGTACTGACCAACCGCGTCAAAATACTTATTATCAGACAAGAGTTATTGAGTTCAAATACAATGTCTGTGCTGTAAGAAGTACTTAACAATTTGAAAATGCCCACTGCAATAATAAAGTATAAAAAAGGATTTCTAATAATGTACTAATAGGATATTAATTAAATATGCAACACTTTATATATTTTTATTCCACATCGTTGATCACAATATCGTAGATAGTAGATACAATGAAATAAAATCCACAGTATAGGACAGAATCGTGTCCAAAATCCACAGCAAAATATCAGATTCGAAAGTCTTAGGCAAGCACTACTCCACAGTTGCAGAGAAAGATTTCGAAAGTCCAAATACAGTCCAAGTCACCTACAAAAAAACAAATCTCAGAAAAACACAATACGCCGATTGAAATCTTTGCAATATGCATGCACCTAAGCACAAACAATGATATATAATGATAACAATAACAACAACAATTCGATGACAAGCATGAAAGTGACAATTATAGTTTTTTTTTCGTTAGAATTGTCGCCATACTCTTTTTGTATTGTGGAGATTATTTAATATGGTTTCAGTATAATATTGAAAATTAATGTTTCCCGATATTTTTGTTATATAATTAAATACAGTTCAAGCGTAAAGCGATGCAAAACATACGAACAACATATTTAAAGTTGATTTCATCACTAAAATCACTTAAAATGAATGGCTCAAAAGCCATCATGGCCAAGCCACAATAAAAATAAGTAGTCAATTGTGTTTCCCTTTTTTTAAGTTTTTAATTCCAAACTAAGACAACCCTCCTCAATTGTTTAATAAATCTTTTGAGATTATTTTATTAACATTTCTGATAATGACATCTATAGACGCTATAGATTTACTTCAACAAATATTTCGCCATTGTCCTTTTTGCAATGCCTGGATTTTCCCCAACGTTCACAGTGCATGGCCAACTACATCACAAAACGGGTGATGATCACCTAATGAACAGCCACAATTTTTACAGGTGTATTTTATGGGAGACGACGACGCGAAAACTGACAAACGGTGTCAAATCATTCAAGGTATGGAGTGAGCAACTGTGCCAGGAAGACGAGTTTGCGTGCAGGGCGCACCCGTCCACGGTTGGCCTGGTGTGAAAGCCTTAGATGCCCACGGTAGAATTTATACCGTACACATAACACACTTTGAGTGCTATTGTGTACGGTTGCTGTTGCTATTACTAGAATCCGGGGTCCTACCAGTTTTCAAGCGCTCAAAATCGTCGATGGGCAGGAAAAGGCCACTTTTCAAGAAGCATGTGAGGCGATGAAGCTGCTTGAAGACGACGGCCACTGGGACGCAACGATGGAGTGCGCAATGTTGTGCCGGTCAGCGACTACGTTGAGAGAGCTCTTTGCGATTATGATAAGCACCTGCGGACTCTCCAACCCCCGGCAATTGTGGTGCAAGTATAAAAAGCGCTTTGTCAGAGGACATTGCTCGCCGATACCAAGGGATCATCATCATCATCAGCCTATTAATGTCCCCACTGCTGGTGCACAGGCCTTCCCTATGGATGGAATGGGGAGATTGGGCCATGACCCACCGCGCGATCCCAGTGCGGATTGATGGGTGCTAACGACTGCAGATGCAGCCGGGACCAACGGCTTAACGTGCCTTCCGAAGCACGGAGGAGCTCGAGATAGTAAATTTTTGGTCACCCATCCAATGACCGACCACTGCGAAAGTTGCTTAACTTCGACGATCGCAGCTGAACGCGCTAACCACTTCCTCGATCGAGCTCCTCGACAAGGGATAACACTAGACATAATTTTTAAAGAAGCGCTGAAAGTCTTATTTCTTGGACGCACCAGGGGGCACCGGCAAGACTTTTTTAATGAACTTGTTGCTGGCACAGTTGTGCAAAGACAAAGTTGTTGCGCTGGCTGTTGCATCCTCCAGAATAGCCGCAACCTGGCTGAGTGGTGGCAGAACCGGACACTCAGTATTCAAGCTCCCGCTGAAACTTGCAAGTGAAGAAACGCCCATTTGCAACATCAGTAAAAGTAGTATCGTGGTGCTCTATTGCAATGGTGCAAATTGATCGTATGGGACCACATCCCGTGTGTCGAGAGCAAGAAACACATTTTATTTACGCAGAAAACAATAAGTCCCGCATTGTGGTTTACCGGGATGTGCTGCAGTAAAGTGATTTCTAGGTCTCGCTCTACGACCCGAGACAAAAAACAATTACATAAGACAGCATAATCATCTCTCCCGTTCTGTCAGTTATCAAATTTTGTAAATTGATCTTTCCGATGTTTAAGTTTAAATTATTTTGCTTCTAAAAATGTGAATAGTCATTGTTTTTACTGTTAATACACAATTTATTTTCCCTAATAAGCTGCGGGTAACACCGCGGGGCACAGCTAGTTATAAATATGATAGTAAACATACTGAATCAGTTGTCGAGAAAGCTCCCGAAGGAAGGATGATAAGAGCAAAGTAGATAAGCCATATACATAAAAGTAATATACTTACTAGTAAAAAGGAATATTTACAATACAATACTTCCTACGATGTGTGCCAACTTATATCGAATAATATTTACATATACAGATTTCGCGACATGTAAACTGAAAATGATATTATACTAAAATCTCAGAGTGGTATTTATAATATTATACGTGAAATGATTTGTAGCCACTTAGATATTTATAAATATATTTATAAATAAATAAATATTCCAAACACTCAAACCAATTAGTCTAGCCCTAAAGTTAGCACAGTTAAGTGCTAAGTACATGTACACGTCTCCGCTCACCCGGCAATAAGAATATAATTCAAAATACAGCGGGTTTAAGTATTGCTCTTTAGATGCACTTTATACTGGCAACATAAATCAGCAGTCAGCTCGCTGTCAGCGAGATTAACGCCGTCGGACTGCTAGATAGTTGACGCCTCGCTTGCCACGCGTTCTAAGCAAGCGGTCTGCGCGGTGTCCAAGCGCTGACCGCTAGTAGTCCATTTCTCGCAATATCTACTAAGCAATTCGCAGTCAAGTAGCTGTCGTCGCGTGGACAGCTACTTGATAGACTGCGAGGTGTCACCTTATTTTAGGGCAGGCGCAGAGTCGTGTAAATGGGCTAAGATCTCTAGGCTTATGTTATGGCTGGGATACTAGGGTAGCGTATAGAATTACTTCTATACTTCTTATTTATAAATGCGTATGTAACTTTGCCTGCTCGAAGGGCGGATCCAGAGGGGGGGGGGGGGGGGCATGGGGTTTTAACACCGTGCGGGGTCCAGGACCTAGGTAGACCACTAATTAAATTTGTTGAAATACTGTCGTTATATATTTTTGTCGCAATATAGAATTTATGCAAGTTTTTTTTCCAATATTTAATTAATATATTTCTTTATATGAACTTTTCGCACCACATCTAAAAAAAAAAATTTTATCGCTACCTTCCATCGGACGTCACATTTCGTTTGACACTTGCACCCGTGTCCATGTCCTAAAAAGGTACATGAACGTCATAATGTCTGGATCCCGCTAGGTTTTTCGAATATAATGTGATTAGGATTTAATGCAGAATTTCTGCTATTTTATACTTTCACAGAAAAATTCTACAATCACAAAATTTCAAAATTTTCAACTAAAAAAGTGGTTCCGCTATTTTGATATCAAAAGGACGGGACCATTAGTCAATTAATAAAAAACACATGGCGTGAACTTAAACTGCACACACCTAATATAATACCTATATATATATTATTTATATATATATATATATATATATATATATTATAGACCTTTGATTAAATATTATACTTCTAAAATTGTAATTTTAATGAAATAATAATTATCATTAATATAAATAAAATAACGATAACGCAGAGCGATAGTAAATTGTGACATTAAAGATACTTTTATATGCAATACGAAGTAAGCTTAAATAAGCTTAAGGTCCATGACGAATAAGTATACATCGTTAAAGATATTATATTTATATTTTTGGTACTCTGAGAGTGCTACTATAGTCTATTCACTTTGGCCTGAGACAAAATGTAAACAAAGAATCTGAGGTTCTTAAACTTTTTTAGAAAATGCACGCTCGCGTCAACAGTTTGATCGAGAGAGTAAAGATGGCTGACGTAAAAAACCAACAGATTATAAAATACAACATTTCAACGTAAAATACTTATATCATGTCTACTCTTAAATTTTGTCGTATTATAATACGTCTTAGTTTGGGAATGATTGTGTTTTTAGGTCTTTTTCCATGTCAACTGATGTTGTTAAAATACTTTTATCAGAAATATAAAAATATACTAATTTATGATGTGTATGTATAATAAATATATGTATGTAAAATGTTTTATTTTCTTATTCGAATGTATGTACCAGCTTTTAAAAAAATTAACCTAATGTTTCACTTCATTTCCTATGTAAATAGTATTTAATCTGTACTTTTGTCAAAAGTGACCTTAAAAAGTATCCTTTTTATGGTTTGTTTACATTTTGTCTCATGCCAATGTGAATAGACTATAGTAGTAAAGTGCTTCGGCCTTACTGTGCAATAAAAAAAATATGATATGGAAGGTTAGTATATCCTCATGTGGCGCCTATTTAGCATATCCAGACTTCAAATGGAAAGCTTAAATTAAGCTTCATAGTCTTAAACCAAGTATTCTATTCGTGGAAAAACATTTTTCCCCCTGCCCACCCTGCCAGGGCAGGGTCCCGACATCTTGACGTTCATAAACATACGCATTGAATTGGATGAAGTGATAACGCGTTACGGGATAAGACGTAAATGTAAGTTAACAGTACTTACAAACATTAATAAAATACTTATACTGCATCTATTATAATCAAATTTTAATTAAAACTTCTTGTGTCTTGGATACGACTATTTGAACCCGGTGGAGCCAGCCTCCAGCTCCTGATTAATGCAATAAAGGATATTTCTTTCTAGTCGTGCACTGTTGTCAGTGGTTGTGGTCATGCCTCGTCGCGTTGCCTTAAAGCTCGATATTTTGCAGAGCGGGAGCAACCATTAATATAGTAAAAACTAATCTATTATAGTTCTTACCCAACGGCCGCTCCAGTGTCTTGCTCGGAGTCCTGACCACGGGGAGAGAGGAGCGCTGCTTACCGCCGCGCCTGAACCCCGTGGAGGCAGTCTCCACCTCAGACATGATGCCGGGGTCATCGTCGAACAGTAGCCCGTTCGGAGGCGGGTAACTTCGTGGTAAAGGAGGCTGCAAAGGAAGCAAAACGTTTAAAAACTTTCCGAAACTTACGGTCCGCTAACCGAACTGCGGTGGCGAGAATGTTAATTTATATATACAAGGCATAGAGATACGACAACGCGCTGGCATCCGCGTAACCACTAAATAAAAACGTACCACGTAATAATAAATAAAACTAACAATCAGTATTATTAAAAACGTCCGCCTTATTCAAGTAGGTCATAAATATACACAAAGCGAGAAAGGAACGATTATTCGTGAGGAGTGATCCTTAGCTAGCTGTCAAAGAAGTTCGAACAGCAACTATAGTCCGGCCGCTCAGAGATTGCGTTTCTGACAGGTCAGCTTATGTTCCGAAATACTGTATCTTACAGAATCGTCGTGCTGGTCGCTAGATCGTTTCGACACTATCAGACTTTCCTGCCCGTTGGTCGCACGACATCTCTTTCTGTAGAATCATCAATTTCATACATATATTTCCGATAAATCCATATCGTATTGTTACAAACAAGAGAAATTAAACTTTAAGACGGGAAGGAGTTATCCAATAAAGGGCGTTGTGTCGTCCCCTTTAAATTGAAGACGCGGTTGAACATACATATAGGTAAAAAGTTCAAATTTCCTCATAGCACCAGGTTCTTACATAGATCCTCGAAAAATTATAATAACTGGGCATTGCAAAAATACTGCTAGGGCATTGCAAATATTTGATAAACATAAGCATATTCTTAACATTAGGTACGTATTATATATTAACATTGTTTATTAATTAAACAGAAAATAGAGCGTACCGAAGGTAATCTCATGTATGTACTTCACTTCGCATACTTACGCACGGCGCCGGCGGTGGCGCTAAGATAGTCAACATTGGCTTATGCATAAAAACTATCGCGGTATCGTATCTAGTTGTTTAATTTACTGTAGAAAATGAAACAGAAAGAACGGAGGTATAAACCAATAAAAATGTGAGCCGCCACGGGACGCCTGGCAGATGTAAAACATCGTCATTATTTTGTAAAAGTAATATGCAGAAAACAACAGACTGCGATAGGAACTAAATATGGCATAATGATTAAATTAAATATCACGATTTTTTTTTCCTGAAAATGATGACTGTTTATTTAATTAACATTTATTTTCATTAAATACAAAAGTCGAATTTGATTGCGCATGGCGACGCGTCGCCACACCGTACACACTACTACATATAGACTGAATATATATACCATCATATAGCGTGGCGACGCGCAGTCACGGCATGAGTCGCCACGCCTGAAATCGGTTTTACGTGCGCCTACAGATGTTTCACGTCAATAACTAAAGTATTTTAATGTTATTGACATTACACATTTAAAAAACGACAATGCAGCTTCTAATGTTAAATTTAAGCAATAGCCTACTGATAAGTTATAATAACCAATTACTTGCTGCTCGATTTTTGCACAAAAATTCACAGACGCGTGTCTCGGGCTCACGGTGGTCTCAACTGGTTTGAGATATCGTGCCATGAGCGGTGCCTGTAGATTACCTTCTGTACTGTCTATTTTGTGCTTGTACATATGGTATAGGTGTATGTATACGTGTAGCTTGCTTGCAGTGAAATGTAATACAATGACAGTCAAAGCATTTGAATAGCATAGTGGGATAGTAGGTAATTAGCAATCTTCTCCCCTGGACTCTACCACCACTTAATATCAGGTAGAAAATTGTCATTTTCCGACAAATTCAACCTAATCAACGCAAACAACTGTTTATCGTCTTTTATTTATTTGCGAAATAATTAAGTTGGAATTTACGAATGTAAAAGATCACGTTCAAATCTGTGATTATTCAAACACTATCCATAGTCCGTTAAACTTTCGTAGTTTTATAGGTTTCTAGTTAACCCAAAGAAATCAAGTAATATCAAATAACAAAAAAAAGCTCAATTAAAGATTCGATTTGACAAAATGCGGAGCGAATCTTCTTTAAAAATTGGATATCTTAGTTAGAAAATTTTTAGGGAATCAAATTACTGCGGTATTTTTTCTGAGACACCAAATACTAACCTACTCTGACGCTCGTCAATAAAGTATGTCCAACCTCCTATCATTTTTCCAAATCAAATCATAATAAATTTCTGGTTAATTTGGGAGGGTAAGGGTGAAGCCAAACGATCGTAAATTTTGAGTTGTGAGTCGCGTAATTTCAGCTGCATTCAGTTTCGTAGAAAAGTCCTGTTTCATTTTGAGTCGCAGTGTGAATCAAGCAGGACTTTTCTACTTGGAACAATTGGGTTTTTGATGACTCATATCACCTCATCTCACCACTGGCAACAAACACGTGCACAAGTGGGAACGAAGCCAGTAGTGACGACTGGGAACAACCGTGCGCAATCATTATGAGGGATACATTGGCTAACTTTTGCTCAAATCGTGATCCCCTTCAAAGCTTAAGCAATTGACATTGTGATATATGCTAATATCTTTCCGAAATATGAATTCAAAGAGATAGAAAGTTACGCAATAGGATATTTGAAGAACATTTCATATGTATTTCACGATTAAAACGAACTGGACTTCATAAAGAGTGAAGCCATAAGACATAACATTATGAATATGGATATTTTATCATTCTGTTGTGTATTTCAGTAAAAATGATTTGTTTTTAAATTTTCTTATTTCTCTTGGAACAATATGGCGCCATCCTTTCATAGCTTGCCAGGGCCGGTCTACTAATTTAATATGTTAAATAACAACAATATTTTCTGCCACCTAAGTTTATATTTATCACTATTCTGCAATTCCCCTTATAATAATATCTACATCCAAGAAATATTTTAGTCATCAAATTAATGTTATACACGCACACTCACACACATTGACTGTTTTAGTACAATCTGACATTCGAGTCGCTTCTTGCATTCCATATCCAAAAAGGTTCAAAGTTTAAAAAAAACTATGAACAAAAGCTAAAAAGATTTTAATTCTCTACAATATTTAATGAATACAAATGGCGTAAATCTCATAGGGAATAAGATATTTGAAAAAAAGCGATTATTTTGTGATTTTCCCTAGATATCTGTAGACGCAAACACCGTAAGTAGACATAGATAAGCTTTAGGATAAAAAAAATCCATTCGGACCAGGCAGCAGACGGGACTCGAACCCGCACCTTTCGTAATCCGGGCGAATGCACTGACCAATTATGCTACCGCGGCCCTCACGGACCGCGTCGAAATTCTTCTAGCCATTCTTAAGCTGCAAGGCAGCGCCATCTCTTCGCATTATAGGTAAGGGATAGGATCAAAGTTATGCATATCATCTTTCTTAATAAAATTACTGTAATATTTATGTACATAAATCATATTCTCATATATGTATAGTTCAGCCAGTGTTAAGATGTTGATTTCTTTAAACATATCTCGAAAGGAATCCCTTGGTCGTAAATTGTATACGGACGTAACAGCTCGTTTCTGTAATATAAAACTTGAAAGATAGCCATAAGACATATTATGAAAATAACAAAATTAGACAATCCTGTTGCAACTTTGTCTGTGTATTTGTTGCAACATCAGTCAGCCTTATTAAAGTGAAAACTTCTTTAGCGACGTTGTACACTTTTTTTTGTAAGGGTAAAAAATGTTAAACTCGCGTCAGGTTAAACAAGTGGGCTGATCGCATCATGACACACAATAAAATTGGAAAGGTTGTTGACTTTCAATATATTGGACGAAACATGATAATAATTTATTTTATCGTATTATAATAATAAGGATCTATCTAGGCCGTCCACGTGGCAGCTTTATTGCGAAGAAAATGCATTGCTTTTACAATAGATGTCGCTAGGTGCGCTTAAATGTGATTCATGTAAGTTGATTTCTTTACAATAGATGTCGCTAAGTGCGCTTAAACGTGATTCATGTAAGTTGATTTTTCTGTGAGATAAACTTTTTAAATGTAATATAAATTGTCATGTTTGTGTACGATAGCGCAATAAATAAATATTGTATTCGACCACACACATGATAGTACTTTTACACTGATAATTAAAGCAATTCGTGCAAAATCATTCCCTAACCATTCCAAAATATCAAAAATGCACAACGTTAATATTCAAGTTTTCACTTCTGCCGGCACTCCCGGGGTGCAACCCGTGGTTTTTTTTACAGCGTATGCTGCTGCGCTTAGTCTGCTGGATAGGGATAATTTAATATAGCAATCGTAAGGTTAGGTTGTGTTGTGTTAGTGTTACGACCAAAACGCACAAGCCGAGTGATGTATTGAACGTGCCTCCGCAGCGGCCAGCGAAGCGCCAGAAAAAGCTCCCCCTTTTCCCAGAACTTCATACATCGGATTGAGTACATACCTACACGTTTTTGAGTTTAATACCCTTAGCACGAACCAATATCGAATTCGCGAAATTTACAGGTTAAAGTTCTTGCTACTGATTTAATTAATTCAAGACCTAATACAATTTATGGACAATACGTATATGGCATTATTAAACTTTCAGCAAGTACGAGAGAAAATATTTACGTCTTGTGAAAATATTGAAGTCTTTGCGGAAAATAACAGATAATGAGGATAATCCTACGATTATGAAACGAGACTAAACAACAATTTAGGAAGGTTAAAAAGAATCAATATTCTAATTCTACTATGTATAAATAAATTATTAAGTTTTTATTTATCAAAAAATTTTATGTTCTTAGATTTGTTACATAAATCCAATTAAAAAACCATAAACTAATCAATTCAGATATGTAAAAGGATTAATTTATGTATTAGATTGTGGGTATTACGAGGAAAAGATATTAGTAAAATATAAAAAGCTTTAACTTTGAAAAAGACTGAGATTTGCGAGAAATCTCGGTTAGCGAAAAAAGTATCGAAACGATCCCTTACTATTTCAAAACATTAACTACTTACTTAGTTAGTTACTCAAGACAAAATTTTATTAATATTTATTTCTTCATTCGCAAGTTAAACTCATATTCTCATTTATACAATAGAGGCTTATTTGTTACTTGTAAAAATTCCAAGGCAATAACTGTATTGTATCAACATATAGCTGGTCTGGTTCATAAAACGTGAGATATCGAATAGGGTATTTTACAAATTTTAGAAAACGATCTCACGTTATTTACTAATGTTTATAGAGTCCATAAAAAGTGGATATTTATCATTCTGTGGTGTATTTCAGTAAAAAAACTCAACCAAAAATTCAATTTTCAACACTATGGCGTCTCATTAGTGTGTGATGTCACACGACTGTCATTAAAACGTCAAACGTAATGTTTACGTAAAACGTGAAGTTTACTAGCATGTGACGTCAGTTTAGCCTTTGCCAATACCAGGTATTTTCGTTTTCACGTGACCATAGAATAGAAATAGAAAATCATATCTATTAAATGATTTTATACAAAAGTTATGAATTATTATTATTATATTCAATACAGATGCCAAATTGGCATTCGGAGTTCACATTGTAAATGTGTTTTTCTTACAAGCTCTCGAAAATTAACTAGACACCAAAGTACTTTATTATTCACTACTAGCATCAATCTACAGGAACCATAAAATAGGTATTTAATGTTGTTGGCTAGCCTAAGCCCTGACATAACTGCTGAAATCAACAGCAATATAAGGCGATTAACATATTGCTCTGCACTCAGATAGCTATTTGCAGGCGCAGATTATAACAATGTATGCAGGTAAGTTTATTATTTATACGAAATACGAGCCCGTATTCAGGAGCGGGTTTACCCATAGTTACTTCAGCTCTCTATATTACATAGTAACTATTAAGTAATCTGTGTCTATATCCCTATTCTCGGAATATGCCAGCTTCAGGATACCCTCACAAAAAATTTACACAATAGGATAATGCATGATTCTTTTCATATTTTATTTAGTACTTTACATCCCTTTAATATAGTATAAAAATATTGAACGTCAAAAAAATAGTACAGTTTGACTAAAGAAAAGTTTCAAATCTTTGAATTTCCCACAGGATCTTCGCACTTTTAAAAAAATACTTAATTTCTAGCTCATAAAGATTTATTTTTAAAAATAATTGATGAAGAGACACATCAGAAGTAAAACTTTATATTTAAAAAAATGAGCTTTATTTGAATAATTGCATATGCATATTTCATATTGATACCTTTGATTATAATTAAAGATTGAAACTATTGAAGCTAATTGAGACAAATTGAAGGGAGCGAACTATTCCTAGCGAATACTATATCAAAGACGTTGAGTTAATGTTTTCACAAATTTGTATCGGTCCATGGAAGCCCCCCTTAAATATTTATTTTATTCTGTTTTTAGTATTCGTTGTGTTGGCGCCAACAGAAATACATCATCTGTGATTCCTCCTGTATAGCTATCGCGGTTCATGAGATACAGCCTGGTGGCAGACAGACAGATAGACAGTGGAGTCTTAATAATAGGATCCCGTTTTTACGTTTGTGTACGAACCCCTAAAAAGGGGTAAGAATGTTTTTCCTTAATCCTGATTGGTGACACTTACAAGAGATCATAGAGAAAGGATCGGAAGGGCGTAAACAATCCGAGAAAAACGGAGTGGTTCTCACGCACGGAAGGCGTATTCCCACGAGACGACACTGTGTTCCGAGTTCAACGGGCTCAATAGCCGGGGAGAATAATAACTTATGTTTTTTCACGCAAAGTAACGTATCACAGATCGAATGAATAGGTGATTTATTCACCTGAAGACAAATGGTTTCTCGTCTGAAAGGGATAAAATCACAGTTTATCTAGACGATAAGATCAAACAAAACTAAAATAAGCGAACTGGGTTAGTATACACGAATCATAAATTTGTTTCCATAAATACAGGTGAATGATTAAATTAATTGCAACATAGTAAAACCAACTAAATAAAATTAAATAAAAAATGTACCTTTCTCATGCGAGGCTCTACATAAATATTCCTTTTGTGGTCTCGATATTTCGCCACAATAGCGTACTCGGGGGTGTTCATTGTTTTCTGTGCAGTAGTGCTGTGCTAAAGTTGACAAAAATAAAAAACAAATAAATAAAAAAACTAAAAAGTATAATAAGCTTACTCAAAATAAGATAATAATTTTATGAATTTATACTCCTTCGCTAGAATAAAAAAAGAAAATGTATGTTGTATATGCCACAAACATCTAACATCTTAATTATAACTACACATCGAAATTAATAATAATCATTTATTCCAACTTCTTATCTTTGTTAACTAAGTAATTTATTTTCAATTGTAGTAATTTACACTAAGTTAAATAATATAGAACTCTGTATTTCAGCATCCGACGCTATTCCCCATAATTTTTACAATAATAATAATATTCTTTATTGTAATAGACCATACAAGACACACAAGTAAATTAAAAATATGACAGACAGAACGTGCACAATATAGGCAGTAATCTCTTCCAGGTATCCCATAATAGAAAGATAAATAAATATGAAGGCGAAAAGGACAATAACAGTAAATAATAATAATAGCAATGACTGGAAAACGGATATATCTAAGGAAGGAAAGAGAAAGGATGAATTAAATTTTAACTTCATAGGGATAGGAAATATCTCCGAACTTGATACCTAAACGAGTTCAGAGTGCGAGCCCTTCGAATAGTTTCCGCCAGGAAGTTCCATAGGCGTACCGAATGCACAGAGAAGAAAAAGAAAATAAATCCATAGAATGACTTGGAATTTCAAGAGTTAGTGTCGCCGCACACGGTCCACCGACCACAACCACAAAACGCCGCCACCGGCATATTTCTTGCAGTTTTCATACATTTTATATGGACTCGCTACATACGAATGAAATGAAATGAAATGAAATGTCATTTATTCAGTCTAGGCTGTTACAAGCACTTGTGAAGGTCAAGAAGCTACGCCATCGGTTCGCAAAACTACGGCGGGAGACCTTGTACTGAGAAGAACCGGCAAGAAACTCAGCAAGGGCTGTTTTTTTCTCCCTGTATTGTTATATACGGTACGCCGGTGGCCGCCACACGCTACAAATCGTCGTTACTCGCTTCTTGTGGCCCGCACCGGCCACTTAATGCGCCCATACAAAACGCCGCCTCACGTCACTCGCGCGATTCTCCACTCCTCTCTCCCTTACCTTAGTCGGCCGTTGTCGCGCGCTTCAGTCACTTTAGTAGCCGCTTCTAGCTTCTCGTGGCGGCGTTTGTGGGTGTGGCGTGTGGCCCGTGTGCGGCGACACTTAGGTTAGAAGAAAATTGACCGAGCCTCTAGTTGCCGCGTCTAATGTTCGCCACTAGTTCCAAAGTATACCATCAGTGTTACATTGATTTTGATCCTATGGCTTATTCCCTCTTCCCTGTGAAAATTTCTGGTAAATCTATTTCTGTGCATTTCCTGGACTATGGGATACGAACGTGGGTCGCAATCGCAAATTTCGACACGACGTATGATTCACTCGGAGCATATAAAAATTCTGTAAACTGGATATTTTTCAATCTTCTTACAAGCTGTAGGGCTGTAAAGATACTTTAATTGGTGGCGAGCGATGAAAGAGTTTTAGGTTACTGTTTCATTGGGAACTACATTTCCCCCAAGAATTAGGTCATGAGGAGACAAGCTTTAAGTTGCGGACCTATACGGCGCGCAGTTATTGCGTGTTAATCTATATACTAAGTTAACCTAACCTAAAGTTTGACGATAAAGGGCGTCACACACAATAAAGATACAATTTTTATTAATTCATATATTCAAATTAATATTACTTTGGTAATTTTAATCGTACATTGCCGTTCTTCATCGAGACTAGTAGACGTCGAAGGTACTTAATATCAGGGAGCGCACTAAAATAACCGACTTCAGCCTAGTCGTTGAAATGGAGATAGGCGGGTGGGTGACTTGAACAGGAGGCGACGGCCGAAAGGCTCGTAAGATTGCCAAGAACTGGCCGAAAAAAAGTAGGAAGGCAACCTATGCGTTGTACTGATGACATCACCAAAACAGTGAACAAGACCTGGATGCGCATAGCGAGGAATCAAGTCCCATGGAGCGACCATGAAGAGACATCTACCCGACAAAGGACTTTGTATATGGAGGTATTTTATCGTATCTTAATCTGTTATGGTCGGCATGTGTTTGCTGGATGAACAGGTCATTGCCCGCGAGCGTGTGCCGTTTCGGGTCGTCCCGCTGTGCGGTACTTCTCTATGTACGATGTATAGTATGGAGCTTACTTCCAAGTCAAGCGTGCTGTTATGGCCAGGATGTGCTTGCTGGTTGAACAGGTGGTTGCCCGCGAGCGTTTGCCGTCTTAGGTCGTCACGCCGCGAGGGCATTCTCTATGTGTAATATATATGAAGCTTACTTCCAAGTTAAACGTGCTGTTGTGGCCATAATGTGCTTGCTAGATGAATGTGTTTCCCCGCGAACGTGTACCGTCTCGGGTCTTCCTGCCATGGTGTCATTCTCTATGTGCAAAATGGAGCTTACCTCCAAGTCAGGCGTGCTATTGTGTCCGGGATGTGCTTGCTGGATAAACTTGTGGTGCCTGGGAGCCTGTGACGTCTCAGGTCATCCCGCCGCGAGGTCATTCTTTATGAATAATATAGAACTTACCTCCAAGTCAAGCGTGCTGTTGTGGCCGGGATATACTTGCTGGATTCACAGGTTGCCCGCGAGCGTGCGCCGTCTCAGGTCGTCCCGCCGCGAGGTCATTCTCTATGTTTAATGTGTAGTATGGAGCTTACTTCCAAGTCAAGCGTGCTGTTGTGGCCGGGATGTGCTTGCTGGATAAACAGGTGGTTGTCCGCGAGCGTGTGCCGTCTCGGGTCGTCCCGCCGCGAGGTCTTTCTCAATTTGAAATATGGAGCTTACTTCCAAGTCAAGCGTGCTGTTGTGGCCGGAACGTAATTGCTGGATGAACAGGTGGTCGTCCGCGAGCATGTGCCGTCTGGGGTCGTTCTGCCGCGAGGTCATTCTCTATGTGTAATATGTAGTATGCAGCTTACTTCCAAGTCAAGTGTGCTGTTGTGGCCGGGATGTGCTTGCTGGATGAACAGGTGGTTGCCTGCGAGCGTGTGCCGTCTCGGGTCGTCTCGCCGCGAGGTCCTGCCCCTGGAGGAGCCCCGGTTAGCCTCGCCGTCAGACAGCCCACCTGGAAAAATAAAGGATGGCTGTAGTTAAAACTAACTAAGCTCAAAGATCGCTAATGAGTTTATAGTCCGTATAAAAACTATTAACTTATCAAAATATGTACACTAATAATGTTTACAATGAGGTACCTACAATGCTCCTGTCTTATCTACAAAGAACCCTGTTTGAATTCCTTGGGTGATTTTCTTGTATTAGTTATATACGTTATTTGCTTTCCAAAATACTAAGTTTGCTTAGATTTGGAATAAATAATTGTTGTGAGTTGTACGAATTTATAATTAAAGTATCTGCACATATCGGATCGGAATAGGATCAACAAAATAATCCGTATCGACAATCACTTCGAGTTGATAGGATACAATTATAACAGGGGTGATTAGTGTGCAATGCAGCATAGAATTCGAACCAAATAATACAGAATGGCTCGAGGTGAGGCTAATCCGTTACTTAACAGAAGTTTTTTTTTTTCATTTAAAAAGAGTGGCATACTACCATATGGCCCTCTTGATGGTAAGCGTCCACCACAACCTATATTGCGTAAGGGTAGGCAATGATGCGAGTCATATTTTTGGTATCGCAAGCGTCTACAGGCTATGGTGGCAGCCTACCATAGGCGGGCCATACGCTTGCATGCCACCCTTTCAATTTAAAAAAGAGGATGTAACAAAGGAGACCCGGCACTTTTCATAGAAAAAATGCTAAACTTGTATACAGTTGAATTTGGTCTCAAAATAAAGCCAACTACTTTTGCCTTATTTTTAGTGAATCGTGGAAAGAAGTTATTTAATGATTAATATTTTTTGATATAGAAACCCTTTTGATGACAAACCTACGTATTTGGCATAGACAGCTAGCTGCTGATGACAAATATTGCCAGACTACGTTATCCAATTATGAAACACAGATAAAAAAATTAAAAAAGTATACAACTTTGGCACAAAATGCCGGGTGTCCTTTATCATCAAATTAGTACAAACAAAATACAACTATAAAATTATTGAAACCCTTTTTAAGTCGGAATCTAAAGCCTTGTAAAAACATTATTTGATGTTTTATACATTGTTTGAGGTTAACGAGCATAGAATCGCAATCATTACTTACAAATTTCTGCTTTCAAGAGCGCTCTCAGCGCTCTTAAATAATTGTAGTTCGATTTCATTAATTAATGAAAGTAGAAAACGCATTTCGAGTGGGCGCCGGTCATGACTACCTATATAAGACCCCTGAATTACGGGAACAAACACTCATACCTAAGAGGGAAAGATTGGGCAAATAAACACATTGGGCAAATAAACACATTGGGCAAATAATTTTTTATTCTAATGAATTTAAACGTTACAAACATTTCCACGCTATACATACTCTCTGATGTTTTGTTAACGTCAGATGAAGTTTTATTATAAATATTTATTATGGGTTTCGCAATTTTGTAATCCTATTAACAGATTTCAGTTCAGAAAATTCCTAGTTTCGGTCATACAATCAGTCACAAGTGGTGATTTTCGTGATAACAACAGACCCGGGACCGTGTGAAGGGATCTACATTAGACACAATAAGACTGTTTCGCAAATATTATGTGGTTCCAAAATAATATGTTGTATATACTTAGATAAGTACCTTTTTAATGTTAAGTAGGTAACTGTTGCAAATGTTAACTTAGTTCTTCTCAAATTTATTGCTGCTTAGGCTCGAACTCAGCGCAAATATGCAAAGCGAAGAGGAGGGGACTTGGTATACAGCTAGAGAAACCACTGAGATAAAGTTAAACCAGATCAGAGATCCTTGAAAGGCACACACCTCTCATATCTCACTGCAAGGGGCAAACTACGGCCCGAATAGTTGAATTCCAAACCGCTACCATCAAACTAAAATCCCACCAACTAGGACTACTACTATTTTGGCACAAGGACCATCCCGCTGCAATTTCAATCAAATCAAAGCTGTAAAGGACAATGTTAAATTTGGCCTAAGCACCAGCACCAATTTGGCATTTATGATAATTCTTAGTATATTTTTTGCGATAATTATCAGTATTTAGATTGTGACGGACACTTTCAGTTAAGAAAGCTAAATTAAAAAGTTAAAAAATAATCTGAGACAATAACTACCATTTTATGTGTATAATCTATGACAGCGCTGCAAACAAAACACTCTTTCTTCCTAATGCCGGCACTTCACTTGGCTATTCGTGTTTGCTATTTGAAAACTTAACATCAGTCTGTCCTTTTTATTCCTTATTAAGCATGAGACTGTTGTCAAGCGAAGGGCCGGCATGAAACTCGATTCTCTGTGGTTTTGGTGCAGGAATTTTGCATTCGTAGTAAACTGTGGCATTCGTGTATTCTCGTTTCGGATTACCTGTTCTGTGTGTTTATTTGCGATTGTTTTTCCCTTAATTTACCTATTTCGACTATCTAATATGTCATCGATGTTACCAAAGAGCAGAGACCTTATTACCAAGTGCTAGTGAATCTGTGCCACAACATCCTAAGAGGATCATACTGCCAAATTATTCAAGAGCACCTGCTACACATTCTCGCTGCATATTTACACAATATACATATTGCGATATACAAATAAATACAATATATAATATGATACAATTATGTGAAAAATAGTCAATAAATAAGAGGCAAAACTACAGTTTTTATTTTATTCATGATTCCTACCTAACCAAGTTTTTCCCAATAGTTATTCTTTAAAATCGCACCGAACAAAAATGAATTAGTCGTAATATTAATTCACTTCATACTAAGTTCATAGGTTGACCTATATTTTATTTAATATTTAACATAACCTCAAAAAATATTTAGTTTTCCTGATAATTTAAGCTCTCAGAAGTGTCCGTCAATAACCTTTGTTTTTACAGTCATTTACTTGCAATTTCGAACCTAGAAAATAATATTTCATGATTGTTGGTTCTTAGGCTAACAATGTATGGACGCCGAACAAAGTCCTTTAAACTGTTTTTTTTTTCTACCTTTGCACGCTGAAGAAAAATATTGCCTATACCTGTCTTACAAAAAAAAAACAGTGTGCTTATGACCACACGATTGAAGTGAAACTTCTTTAGCTCCATATATATATATATATATATATGTGTATATATAAATGTGTGTGTGTTTGTACAATATATACATGGATGTACAAATACATATTTACTAGCTATAAGAGAAAGTGAGAAAGCAAATATGCGCGCACGCTATATATATATATCCCACTCAACTCCCGTTCGCCTCGCCCGTACACACTTTTCGTAACGCGTAACGCATTCGCCAGCTTACCCCCAAGTCAGGCATGCGTAAAGTTAAAAAAAAATAACTGGCCACTTATAGATTTTGTTAGTAAATATTGGCATGCCGAAGAAAAACTTTGGCTATCCCTGTCTCACTGGGACCACCGCTTTTACAAAAAACCTTCCGAAAGTATAAAGCAGCTAGTAGCTAGAAAGTAAATTTTCGTTTACCTATCCAACGACCAACCAAGAAAGTTGCTTCGAAGTTGTACTGAAGTATGAAGTATGCAAACGAACGAGTACTTCTCCCATTCAAATTCACAAAAAATATAACGTACATATTGAATATACATATATATATTAAATACCCTCATATCTATTTTTGATAATTATTATCAAAGTTTATTAGTGTATTAGTTTAATATCTTAATAAGTGAGCTAAAAATTTTGTCAATATACATTTATCACTTTCTTGTATCGAAAATTTATTCGTTTTGAATACCACAACCAAGTCGTGGGTAAATCAATTTTCAAAAATAATAATATCTCTGTTGTAATTTTAATCACTAAATACGGTATTATGTAGTCTTTAAAATTATAACAGAGATTGTTTGAATAATTTATTGAAATTTACTAAATAACTTCTCTTACTTCTTCTTACTCACCTCAATTTCTTTCTAAATCACTATTAACGTGTTGGCAATTTGGGTCTACACGCTGGCTACATTCAGCCAATTCATATGGATCCCCCGTGGAACCGTCCGAATCGCTCAGAATGCAGCAGAAACGTTGATGAAATACGTAACAAAACTTAATAAAACCCCAAAGAACTTCGCAAAACTGCACAGAAATCCAATCGCAGTTAAAAATACATGAATCAAATCAAACAATAAACGCAACTGAAAAACACGTGAGTTCAAAACAAATGAAAATCTACCAAACAAAACAAATGAACGTGCAGAATGATGGATGTAACAAGCAACGAAAGGATTATGTTGATCTGACGGACCGTTGTACACATTTTGTCTTGGTAATAAAGCCAAAACTAAATTATAATTGTGATCTTTAAGTTAGTGATTCGCAACGATACGATCGCGGGACCGCGCTGAAACCGCGCAGAACGGCTACTAAAAATTCCTGAAATAAAACAAGTACAAGGGGCACCATATTAATAGAACTACGGCACCGTCCTACTCTATTTTAATTTTTTAACACTAGTTAGAGTGAGATAATTTCTGTTTACGACGTTCAACGTCACGGATCGGTACAGTTGTAAACATGTCGGTGGTAACAGGCAAACTTTTTGGTGTAAACTGAAATAGTTTTTCGTAGCTTTGCGTATATTCGAGGCTATTTTTGATTATACCTTTACGTTCTGGTAATATGAAAGGGGTCATTCGAATGTAGGGCTGTGAATTAAATTCATAATAGAAGGATTTTTTGAAGTGAAAACTTCTTTAACGGCGTTGTACACTTTTTTTTGTATGGGTATAAAATTTTAGGTTGGCTGATCGCATCATAACACACAATAAAATTGGTAAGGTTGTTGACTTTCAATATATTGGACGAAATATAGTAATATTTTATTTTATCGAATTATAGTAATAAGTCTCTATAAAGGACGTCCACGTGGCAGCTTTACTGCGAAGAAAATGCATTTTTTTAACAATAGATATCGCTAGGTGCGCTTAAATGTGATTCATGTATGTTGATTTCTTTACAATGGATGTCGCTAAGTGCGCTTAAACGTGATTCATGTAAGTTG